GCTGGGTACTCAAGTCCACCCCTTGTCAGCTGGGCCCATAAGTCTACCCCTTGTCAGCTGGGCCCATAAGTCCACCCCTTGTCAGCTGAGCACTCAAGTCCACCCCTTGTCAGCTGGGTACTCAAGTCCACCCCTTGTCAGTTGGCCCCTTAAGATTACCCCTTGTCAGCTGGCCCCATAAATCCACCCCTTGTCAGCTGAGCAGTCATGTCCACCCCTTGTCAGCTGGGCCCATAAGTCTACCCCTTGTCAGCTGGGCCCGTAAGTCCACCCCTTGTCAGCTGAGCACTCAAGTCCACCCCTTGTCAGCTGAGCACTCAAGTCCACCCCTTGTCAGCTGGGCACTCAAACACACCACTTTGAAATCATAACATCAATCATGCCTGACCCTCAGATGGCTTGCAGCCTTTTTATAATATGAAACATTGAATCCAGCCTCAGAAGTCCCCATATTCTTTAACATTCCCATTGCTGCTCAAAAGCCCAAAGTCTCAGGCTGGTGTGATGGCTCAGTGGGCAAAGGCACCGCCAAACCTGATGCCTGAGTTGAGTCTCTGGGACCCACATGGTGGAAGGAAAGAACTGACTCCTGCAAGTTATCCTCTGACCTACACACACAGATACTTGCATGCATGCACGCATGTACCCACATTCTCTTAGGCCCATGTACACACACATCCACATGGACATATACACAAAATATAATGTAATTTAAAATTTTTTTCAAAAAGACTTTCAAAAGCCTGACATCTCTTCTGAAACTCATGGCAGTTTCTCAACTATAGAATAAAAAAGTTAAATACTTCCAATGTACAGGGAGTAAACCTTCCTATTGTCAAAGGGAGGAACAGGAGGATAACAAGGTGGGGATGGGCCAAAGCAAGACCAAAACCCAGCAAGGCAAACGTCCAACCCTGCAGCTCCATGTCCAGCATCTGAGGCTCATGGTGGTGTTACCTGGACTCCAGTGGGCTTGAGCATCTCTGCTCTGCCAGCATTCCTTTGTGGATACACTGTGGTCCTGGCGTTGCTGACATCCTGGAGTCTGCATTGTGACTTAGGCTTCACCTTCACAGCTTCACACATAGCACCTCAGAGCTTCCTTTCAGTGAACCCACCTTTTCCTCACATTGGCCTCGGTGCTTTTCTGGAGCCTTGGCAGAAGCTACTATGACTGTAAGTCTTGGCGTTTTGCAAGGCCGTGGAACCAGCACCATGTTGATTGTGCTGCCAAGATCCACTGCAGCTTGAGATAGGGCCTGGTTCCTTCTCCCAGGGCACTCCAGATCCAGCCAGGTTGACAAACATGCACTGTCATTTACTGGGGCATAATCGGTTTGCAGTAAGACTTGCTATGCCTGTGTGGTGTGAAATGATTACTTGCCACAATCAAGTTAATTAACACATCTGTGATCTTACACAGACCTTTTTTGGTGTGTGCTGAGAACAGTTAATATCTGTTCCCTTTGTGATTCTCATGTGGCTCCAGTTTAGTACTGTATTTTGTACTGGATGTGATAGCTTTTCCAATTTGCACCTGAGTTCTTCTCACACTGATTGATACATTTTTCCTGGCCTCCTATTATTGAAGAAATTAACTTTTTATTATTTTCTTACTTTTTACGTGCATGGGTGTTTTGCTTGAATGTATGTCAGTGCACCACATGTGTGCAATGCCTGCAGAAGCCAGAAGAGGGTATCAGATCCCCTGGAACTGGAATTACTGATAGTTATTAGTTGCCATGTGAGAACTGAACCTGGGTCCTCTGCAGGAGCAGCAAGTGCTCTTAACTGCTTAGTCAGCTCTCTAACCCCTTAAAGGAATTTATTAATTGATCCATAGCTGATATGTATTGGGAATCTACCAGGAGCCACACAGGTATGTCTGTTAGCTCATCTGATCCAGTGGCAACCCTGTGGCAGATATCCCCCCAAGCCAGTAGTCCAGCCTTGGAAGACAAAAGAAAAATGAGGAAGAACCCAATAGAGGGATGCTTGTCAAGCCCTTGTCAAGAAACTCCAGTGGACTCTCATATGAACATTTGAAAATTGCCCTGTTCTGACTTTTTTCTAGTTCCCTGTTTAGAACTTGTAATGCTAATTACTGTTGCCTTTGCTTCTTCACATCTCCTATTCATGATTCAAGGTCTTTCTTTTCCCCTTAGAGACAAGAGTTATGCAATTTGGGAGTCTTTTAGATAGACCCACTGAAGGGGTTCTCCAATTGCCTCACCCTGTGTCCCTGTTCAGCATGGAAGAAGCCAGAGTGGTCTGCGGGCCTGTTAGCAACATACTCTGTTCCAAAGGCCAAAAATGTCAAAAGTATTTGGGAGCTTGTGTCCAATCCTTAAAAGATTTTAGGGTTATCTCTTCAGAGGGGGAAATGTTGGAGGGGAGGGAGTGAGCATAGATTTGATCAAAACACCTTATTATGCATGTATGCAATTCTCAAAGTTTTTGTAAAAGTTAAAAAACAACAACTGTGTAGTTAGGGAGGACAGAGCCACTGGTCTCAGCAGTGGGTCTGTTTCCGGAACCCATTCTGTCCTGTGTCCTTTGTCCAAAGTTCCAGCTGTTACTGACTTAAGAACTCCTACTGGGAAACACTTCCCGTGACACCCCAGTCCCCACTGGGGCCCATAGGCAGAGGCATCTCTGTCAGCTCTAACTCTTCTGGCACGACTCCCTAACGTACCAGTGTTTCCGTGATGTTTTCTATATGACATGCTTTAGCATTTTTGGAAGATGTTCTCAGGAATGTCAGTGTCAAAAACTTAATTAATTTGCATTTGTTTTAAAAATTTCACTTTCATAATTAACAACAATGCTACATAATCCTTTTAAAAATATATTTTCATTTATTTGACAATGTTGTACATGAATATAGCATGCTTTGATCATACCCCCCCTTGCCCTGTACCCTCCGTGGAACCCCTCTTCTGCCCCCCTCTATTTTAGTATCTGTTTTTTAATCCTTTTTTTAAATACAACCACTGAGTTTAATTAGGGTTGCTTGCATGGATTCCCTATAGTTCTTCATACCCTTCCCTAACCCTGATATGATTTTCCCTGTGACTTGTGACGGACAGGACAACATTTGCTGCGGCGTGTCCGTTATTTGAAACGTATTTTCTGAGAACCAGCTTCCTGCAGCAACAGTTTATAGACTCAGTGCTATTCTCACCCGGGTTCAATTTTCAGCAACTTGCTACCTTTGATTCTCCTATGTATAGGGCAATAGTGTCTATTAATTTTGACTGCCCTGGTGTCCTGACCAAGCCATGGCCACCATGTGTATCAAGAGTGCCATCCATTTGGGCGTGTGAACCGGTCATTTGGGCAGGGCGGCTTCTGTTGCTGCTCTTCGGCCAGGCCTAGACCCCTTAAGCTTCAGCTTCTCCTCTGGACCACTTCAGGCACCAGGAATCCTACTGAGAGGGACTGGGGTGCTGCACAGTGGTTGGGAAAGCATTCGCCTAGCACGGAAAGGTCTGGGGTTCCATCCCCAGGGCCCCAAATGAAAAATCCTTTAGATGAAATTGTGGAGCTCAACAGAGGAGGATTGAGAGAGTCACTGGAACAGTGGAAGTGGCCCCCACCCAGGCCAGAGGGACGGCGGCCCCCACCCAGGCCAGAGGATCCGAGGCCCCCACCCAGGCCAGAGGATTGGAGGCCCCCACCGAGGCCAGAGGGACGGTGGCCCCCACCGAGGCCAGAGGGATGGCGGCCCCCACCCAGGCCAGAGCTCATGGGCAGCCCCTCCTGCCCAGGTGTCCTGCATCTCCTGCGTCTCCACCCCATAGAGCTTCATGATGTCTCAACAGAACACATATGGGCTCTGTGTGTGTGTATGTGTGTGCGCACATGCGCGTGTGTGTGATCTGCCTCTCCTATATTTCCACCCCATAGAGCTGCATGTGTTTCAACAGAGTACATGTGGGCTGTAATGTGTGTATGTGTGTATGTGTTTGTATAAATATGTGTGGTATGTATCTATGTGGTGTGTCTGGTGTCTGGTGTTGATATGTATATGTGTGTGTGGTATGTGTATGTGTGTGGTATGTATGTGTGCCCCTGTCTGTTTGGTGTATGTGTTTATGTATGTGTGTGGTATCTGTGTATATGTGTGTATATGTATGATGTTTGTGTGTGGTGTGTGTATGTGGTGTGTGTCTGTGTGGACTCTCACCCTCTGCCATTCCTGAGCCTTCTTGTGATCCCTTATTATTATTTCACATAACCCTTTTCTTGACAAGTCGAAAAATAATTTGCTTTAGTAAAAGTTGCCAATTAGTGTGGACAGTTTTATGCACTTATTTCCTATTTTCAATTTCTTTTGCTATGTATCCTTGTGTATAAACCAGCATTCAATTAGGTATTTAGGTCTGTCTTATTGTCTTATAAGGACTACTCATTTACTATGGAAACTAACCCATATTTATCATACATGTGTACACACACACACACACACACACACACACACACACACCTCAGTACTTTTTAGATAAGCTCTTGCTCATTGTCCAAGCTGGCCTTACACTCCCTCCCCAGCCTCCTGAGTGCTGGAGTGCAGGCGTGTGCCGCCACACCCAATTCCTTTTTCCTGTATCTGAATGCAAGTTTCCTCTTTTTCACTGTTCTTTGCAGTATTTGAATTGTCAGACCTATTCATTACTGAAATGATTTGCGACTTTAATGTTTTCCTTGGAAAGTCTCCCATGAAGATTAAGCAGGGCAGAAAAGTCCTTGCAATTTTCTTCTGCTTAAATGGTTCTAATGCTTTCAGTAAGCATTTCACTCTGGGGTTTATCCTAATTTATCCATAGAAGAATCATTTTACTTTTTACAATTCATCGAATTATTTCAGTGTAATGTAAGGGATGGTCCATCCTTTTCTTGGTTTATCCATCTTAATTTTTACTACATGGGTGATGATTGGGAGCAAACAATGTTGAAATGCGCCTCTGACATTGTGAGTAAGGAAACTGATTTTGTTCCAGTGGAGTTCTTGAGGGAGAATCAACAAGCCAAAAGTGCCAAGAGGGAATGGCTGCTCAACTCTATGTCATCTGAAGATGTCTGGAAGAATTGCTCCCTAGATGACCTGGAGAGGAACTTTTGCCATGAGGTAAGAGTCACTTCTAAAGCCATACTGTCTGAAGAGTGACCCCAGCAGACAGCTGCGGAACGCTTTCAGGTCTGGATACTATTTTTAACACTTGTTTTGATCCAGCCTGTATCACCTCAAACTGGCAGAGACCTCTCCCCTCCTTCACACAATGCACATGATGATAATAGTAATGGATGAGAAGTTAACTTTGTATGCACGTGTGGGGAAGTGTATCTTCTGGGGGTGTGTGCCCTATGCCATGTGTGAGTGTGTGGGTGCACATGTCCTTGCCTGAGCATTCAGAGGCCAGAAGAGGATGTCTGGTGTCTTCCGCTACCTCTTTCCACTGTATTGAACCTGTATTGAGCTGTAAACTCCCCATTTGGACTAGCTACCTGAGAGCTCCTGGGCTTTGCCTGCCCTCACCCACTGTGGTTCCAGGCATCTGTGGCTGTTCTGCCTTTGCATCTGTGCTGGGGATGCCAGCTCAGGTCCTCCCACTTTCACAGCAAGCACCTTACCCATTGACTTACCTAAAGTTCATTTTTAACAGAGTCCTCTTTGCTACTTGAATTCTCATGAATACAAATACAGAAAACATAAATAATGCTCCAGCTTGATTGAGCAATGTCAAATAGAACCTCAGTGAGTGAGGAAGCCTTTTCCAGTTCCCAGATCGGAGGGTCGGACACTGTGGTGGTTTGAATGAGAACGTCTTCCGTAGGCTTGGATATTTGAACACTTGGTCCTGAGTTAGTGGCACTGTTTGGGGAGGTTGTAGAGCCTTTAGGTTAGGGCTGGAGGGTTTTGAGAATGCACAGCCTCACTGCACTTTCAGTCCTCTCTCTGCTTCGTGGGGGGCATTGAATTATTATTGAGATAATTATTGTGATAATTTATTAGCCAGGCATTTTGGGAGGAAAGCTTCTAATTTTTTGCTCACAAAGCCAAATAATCTATGTATATCAACTTCTTTAAACCTAAAATGAACAATGTGAGTAAAAATGATTTTGGGGGTACTGGGGTTCAAACCATGCTGAGAAAGCTATCACTGAGCTGTACTCCAGCCTAAGGGAAAAAATTTTAATCTTGAAATTTAAAGTATCTGTTATGTGTGAAGTAAAATACAAAAGCCGTAAGGAAGAAGATGGAGTTTGATTGCACAGAAATGGAAAGATCTTCTTGTAGAGCAAAACTTTCTGTGAACATAAGATTGGCAAAAGATGTGCAACATAATTGACAGATAAATAATAATTGTGCCTTCTGAAAGTATTCATTTTATTTTTGATTATGTGTCTATGTCTGTGTGCATGTGAGTGCAATACCCGTGGAGGCTGGAGGAGGGAGTCAGATCCCCTAGACCTGGAGTTACAGGTGGTTGTGAGTTGCTTAATGTGGGTGCTGGGAACTGAATCTGGGTCTTCTGCAAGAGCAGCAAGTGCTCTTAACCACTGAGGTATCTCTGCAGCCTCAGTAATAACGGTTTTAAATATATATAGAACTGTACAAGTTATTAATACAAACTTTTTGGTAGAAAAACGTCAGTGAGGAAACACAAACAAGTGTCAACAAGGGCATTTGAGAAACACTTTCCTATCTATTGACAAATTGGCAAAACTTGTGTACTTGTTGAATAACTTTATTGTTTTAGTAAAGGCATGACCTTCAGGGACTGCAGAACCATGTTGAGTGGCTCACAACAAGCTGTAACTCTAGTGCCAGGTGATCTGAAGTCCTCTCCTGTCCTCCATGGACATTGCATGCACATGGTGCACTTACCTACATTCAGGCAAACACTCATACACACACAACAAAAATAAATAAATCTTCAAATAAAACAACACAGAATATATCATAATCACAAAAATATAAGCAATTCTGAAAAGGGAAGAAAATGGAAATTATTCGCAAAAAGGCCACCCAGATGGTATTTGTGGACTGTTATTCCAGGCCTTTCTCTGTCTATGTGTAGAAAAATGGCTGCACTGCACTGGTGGGCAGCCAGGGGGACTAAGCAGGGGGCGGGGGACCTGAGTTCCAGTTGGACTTTGACTTTATAGCAAGATCTTGTCTCAAAAAAAAAAAAAAAAAAAAATCACACTCCTTTAGGAAAAAAACCCCCAAAGCATATTTAATTGAAATATCCTTGATTTTATCAAGAGAAGAGCAAGCCTCATCATCACTTGACATCATCATTAGTCCTGTTCATGGGGCCTCCTACACCAGGCAGTTCTGGATGTATGCTGGGGGGTCCTAGTCAGAGTCTCCACAGGTCACGCTGCGGCGGTATCTCAGGGGAGGAAGCTGAGGCAGGGGAAGGCAGCCTACCTGCTCCAAAATCCCAGTGCCAAGTCCCAGCTGCCTCCTCCATCCTCAGTGCTGGCCACCAGGGACATGGGGACACTCCAGCTCTGGGTGGCTATTTCCCACAGGACATATTAAGTCCCTGAATCGACATTAAGACAACAAAAGGGACCAGAAAAGCCAGGGAGAGTGGGGGGCGGTGATGCTCTTTCAGGGCTGGCTCCCTGCCCTGAAGTGAGCAAGTGACCAGGGACTCAGTGAGTGACAAGTGACCAGCACTTGTGTGTTTCTCCCGCCCCACCCCACCCCCCAGCCTTTGCTCTCTGCACTGTTCTGCATTGATGATGTTTATATTCTGTGCAGCTGCCCAGTATTCCAGCCCTTTCGCCCTCATTCTATGCTGTTATATTTGGTGCCCATCGGTGGTTCAGCACTTACAGCACTTTACCCCTCTCAGACTTCTTTTTCTTGGCTTAGTTTCTGCTTGGATGAATTTCTCTGTCAAGCAATTTCTTGGGGCAGGAGAGTTGGCTCAGTGGTTATGAGCATGGGCTGCTCTTGCAGAGGAAGAGTTCAATTCCCAGCACCCACATGGCACTTACAACCACCTGTAATTCCAGTTCCAGGAGATCCAATGCCCTTTCCTGGATTTTAGGGGGACCTGCACACATTCACATGTACATAATTAAAAATTAAAAATAAATATTTAAAAAGGAAAGGCTCACAGGTCTCTGCTCCCTCTGTGCGCCCCTCTGGAGACAGTGCGCCCCCTGTGGGCGGACTTGACCAGGCCCTGGCTGGGTCTGACCCCTTGTGCTCTCCTTTGTTCCTAACACCGTGAATATTTTTTCCATGTCTTCTGGTGTTTGAGGTTCCCGTGAAGAGCCTGGGTTCGACCCAATCAATCTCCTCTTGAAGCCAATTTAGCCTTTTCTACTTGGATGCCCCAAGTATGTTTTTATAGTGATCCTTGAAATGTAAAAGCCAGACTAAGCTATGTCCTGAGTAGAACATTCTGATGAACTTCCTTGGAATACGGCTTCAGGTCTTCATGAAATCTGTGACTCTCAGGTCATAAAACAGAGATTAGGCCTCCCTCTCTCTCCTTCCCTCCCTCCCTTCCTTCCTCCCTCTCCCTCCCCCTCCCCCTCCCTCTCCCTCCCTGTCTTCCTCCTATCTTCCCTTCAGGAGGATTTCCAGTTACCCGGGTATAGGGGCACCTTTGTCCTGAGAGCTGTCACCTGTGCTCACATTGCTGTAATCCTTCTGTCTCAGTTCTCTGCCTTGAGATCCTTTCATGCCTCTCATACTTATTTAAATACCATTTTGATCACTTATCCTTGCTGTTTCTAATTGTATTACTTCTGCGATGGCCTTGTTTTTATGTCGATGGTCTTAGCTCTGCCATGTCCCCTCATCTCCTTCACCGCTTCATCATTTCAGGGCGCCCCTTTAATGAATTCCCATTTTTATTTGGCTCGTGTTTATGGCATGACACATTCTCAGGGGATATGTTTGTGTCCCTCACAGGCTGGGCCTTTGTCCTTTGCTCCATAGTGTTCACTGTTTCCCCTTTCTCCTCCTGTCTCTACAGTTGTGTACACAGCTGCAACGCCCTTTGTTTTCAGTCTCTGCATGCTTAGGATGCAGTCACCTCCCCACCGTGCTCAGTCAGCACCTCCCCACGGCGCTCAGTCATCAGATCCCCGCGGTGCTCAGTCACCAACCCCCACGGTGCTCAGTCAGCACCTCCCCACAGTGCTCAGTCAGTACCTCCTCACAGTGCTACAGTGCTCAGTCATCACCTCCCCACGGTGCTCAGTCATCACCTCCCCACCGTGCTCAGTCAGCACCTCCCCAGTGCTCAGTCATCACCTCCCCGCAGTGCTCAGTCATCACCTCCCCACAGTGCTCAGTAAGCACCTCCCCACAGTGCTCAGTCATCACTTCCCTCCAGTGCTCAGTCACCATCTCTCCACAGTGCTACAGTGCTCAATCATCACCTCCCCGCAGTGCTCAGTCAGCACCTCCCCACAGTGCTCAGTCACCATCTCCCCACAGTGCTCAGTCATCACCTCCCCCAGTGCTCAATCAGCATCTCCCCGCACAGTGTCCTGTTATTTAAACACTGTTCAGCACATGCTCCATGGTGGACATTTGGGCTCTTCTAGATGGCACTAGTCCCACCGTAGTGGTTGTTGACATAGCTTCCGTGTGCAGTGTCAGTGTCCTGGTGAGATGGCTCCGTAGTTACGAGCACTTGCTGCCCTTCCAGAGGACCCATGTTTGGTTCCCAGCATCCACATCAGACAGCTCATAGCTGGCCAACTCCAGGGCATCTGACTCCGTCTTTTGACCTCTCCATTCACTACACCAACACTCACGTGTACATACCCATACACACACACATACACACACACACACACACACACACACACACACACAATTAAAAATCATCAAAAGGAAGAACAGCATCTTCTTTTTGGCTGGGGTGTCGCCCTGTTTTCCCATTATGAATTCACACACCCACTGAGAGCATATGGAGTTGCGTTGTGTGGGCACACCCACTTACCATGGTTGTGTGGGCATGCCCACTCGCCGTGGTTATTGCTCTCTGCTTTCGCAGTCTGATGCAGATGGCATCTCTGCTATGATTGGGAGACTCACCTTCCTATTTACTAAGACATTGAACAGCTTTTTGTATTTTGCAACTTTAAAAAAATTTTTTTTAATTATTTTTTGTTTTATGTGTATGTGTGTATTGCCTGCATGTAAGTAAGTGCACCCGTGTTGTGCAATGCCCATGAAAGACAGAAGAGGCTGTCAGATCCTCTGGAACTGGAGTTAGGACAGTTGTTAGCTGCCATGTGGGTTCTGGGATTTGAACCCAGGTCTTTACAGTCAGTGTTCTTAATCGCTGAGCCATCTCTATGCCAGCCCCATGTTTTGCAACTTTTATTCAGAACATTTTTGGTGAACTGTATCTGCTTTTAACAAACATTGAAAGAGTAACACATGCCAGATTTGTGTATCCTTCTGGGTCACTACTAGTGAACAAAACAGGTCCAAACTGGGGCTGGAGAGGTGACTCAGTGGTTAAGAGCACTGGTTGCTTTTGCAGAAGACCTGTGTTCAGTTCCCAGCGCCCACTTGGCAGTTAACAATGATTTATAACTCCAATTCCAAAGCCCTCTTCTGGCCTCCCCGGGCATTGCATGCAGGTGGTGCACTTCATACATGCAGACTAAACACTCACACACATAAAATAAGGAAAGAGGCCCGAGCTCTGCTGTCTTGATGTCTTTTAGCCTTGTACCGAAGACAGAGGGTAAAACAGTGCACAGGGCCGTAAACACAGCGCTGAGCCTGGGGACAGAAAAGGACAAGATGTTGGGAGAGGGACCTGGGGGGGTCTCCTTTAGGTGGGTATGGGAGGGGCTTACAGAGCTACGTGTGTAAAGAAGGACACTGGGTGGGACTTTGGCTGGTCCATCAGTGATGTGGTGGCACATGGGAGGTCATGTAAAGAACAGCACAGGTGTGTGGCAGATAACACAGGGAGTTTCAAGATAGTTTGCTGAGGGACGCAGCCTGGAAGTGTGGTATGTGAAATTATCTGTGTGATTATGACCATGCTGGAAGCTGCTGATGGTGAGACTCCCCATATCTCTGGATCCTTTGTATGTGTCGCTGAATTGCTTGTGTTTTCTTACACAAAGTCTTACAGTTTCTTCATGAACAATGAGATTTCCAGGTCACTGATGTCACCCACACACCTTGTGCTTCAGTTCCTTGGTTGCTTTCGAGACATTCCTGATCAAGGCAGAATCATGCTCCTGAAAAACCTTCTTGAAGACCCCCTGCCAGTTATATGTTAAGATGGATTTAATTACCCCAAGGAATCTGAAGCCTGGGCTCTTGCTTCTCCATGTCAGAGTCCTCCCCAGGCAGGAAATCAGATGGAATCCCCAGAAAGAAAGAGCAAATTTAGTTGCATCTTGGGCTAATTTCATTCAACTTTCTAAGAAGTTTAGGTCTCGAAGTATTTTTGTTAATGTTGTGTGTGTGTGCTTGTGCTGTGGTGTGTGTGTGTGTGTGTGTGTGTGTGTGTGTGTAGATGTCAGAGGACAACTTTGGGGAGCTGGTTCTGACCTTCCACCTTGTGGAGGCAGGGTCTTTCTTGTGTCTGCCACTGCGTGGGGTCCTCCAGGCCCGGCCCATGAGTTTGGGCCGATTCTCCTGACTGTCTCCCATCTTGCTGCAGCAGTGTTGGGATTGCAGCTGCACACCCCAGCATCCAGCTTTTTACCTGGGTTCCAGGGATCAAGCTCAGGTTGTCAGACTTATGCTACGAGTGCTATTACCTGCTGAACCATCTCCCCGGCCATCTGGACCCTCTAATATTTAAAGATCTCCAGTACTGCTCTCTCCACTCAAGAGCATCTACCTCAACCTGCATCTTCGCCCCTGAGCAGACAGAGACTCCTGTATGTGTACATCCATGTTCTGTTGAAGAAAATCCCCTGGCTATTTTGTGTACCATCTTTTCCCAGTTAGCAAGTAAAATTGAATTCAAACCAACCGGGTAGGTGGAAAATATTAGAGAATATCATTATTAATAAATAGCGGAGAAACCTTTGGTGATGAGGTTGGTGTTCACAGTGGTTAGCCTACCTCACTGCTGCAGAGGGTCCCAGAGGCAGAGCCCCTCCACTCACTTGTTCCCTCCCTTCATAAAAACTATTAGAGACCCAGCCAGTGTGTATTCTGTTTATGTAATCCTCATATTAATCAATTTCCATGCCACAAAGCAACTTCTATTTTTAATAAAATGCTCCCAGCTTGTGCATCTGATTGGCTGGACTTAATCAGGAGGTGCGGCGCGTGGGCTCATGGTAGGGGACGGCTGGAAGAGTGTTAGGGAAGACGCATCAAGCTGGCAGAGCCTCAGTATTTTTAGCGCTCTGATGGGAGGTAGACCCGACATCCCTGAGAAACTTGTCAGGCACACAGCAGTGAGAGCGATATTGTTTTGTAGTGAGCTCATCAATTAAACATTTGAGGTTCAGCACATGCCACAGTAACCTTTTTGATCAGTTTTCGGAGAGGGAATGTGAAGAGGTTGCAGTTAAAAACAATGAAATGTTTGGATGACTGTGGGATGTTGACTCTGCTCCACACAACACTCTCATTTTAATTCCCTGCAGCTCTGCAGGTCCTATGAAAAGATCGAGAAAGCCCTGAGCACAGGAGACCCCTCCAGAGGCGGCTACGTCTCTCTGAACTACCTGAAGGTTGTCCTTGACACCTTTATACACCGGATTCCAAGAAGACTCTTTATCCAGTTAATGAAAAGGTAGGAGTCTTTGTTTTCTTGACAGGTGTCCGCTAGGCATCAGCCCTGACAGTAAGAGTTGCTTCCTTTATTTTTATCTAGTGCCTTAACTTCATACCATTGAATTCCCAACATAGACTAAAGGAAAGGGGGTGATCCCACAGATCCACTCTTGAACCCCACCCCCCGCAGCTGCAGGGGTGAGGGAAGGCCTGTCTCTGAATTTGAGCCTCTTCATCTGTCTCAACCCCAGGTGCCTGTGAAATAAACACAAAGTGTCTCCAAAAGTTACAAACTCCCTTTTTAGAACACCATTGGGCACAAACGCTGTTTTCACATCAATCAGAATTATCAGTACTATTGATAAACAGCCACCCAGGGGCCAAGTGCAACTGCTCAGCACCGGTTCTCTTCTGCAAAACACGTGAATCAGAATCTATGTCAAGTCTCCCTGCTGCCGTTCCTGGACTCCCCTCAATTCCCGTTAATCCACAGGCTTCACCCCACCTCTTTACTCTAGATGAGGTCTGGATTCGAAGTTCCATGGAGTTTCTTACGACCTGAATTTGACTGTTGTGACTCCCAGTGCCGTCCTCAGGCTCCCTTTTTCCTCGCTTCCCTGAATTGGTACCTTCAAGGACCCTTGGCTGTGGCTGTGTTTGCTTTAGGCAAGAGTGCCCCAGAGATGTGACCGTGGGTCCTTGAAGGTGCCAGTTCAGGGAAGGGAGGTCTCTCCTTTTTGTAATGTCAGCTATTCCTGTCAGTCAGACCTAGATCCGATGTTCCCTAGAGACAGTAAGGTGGTGAGTTCATTGTAGCTAAACTGCTTCTGTGACAAAAACACATCCTCTCCAAACGCTTGGGGACTGTGAGGCCCAGAGGATAAAAAAGGCAGGGCTGGGAGATGGCAGCTCTGTGGACAAGATGCTGGCCATGGATGGGTGGGGACCAGCGTTCAGATCTCCAGAACCCATGTAAATCTGCACGCAGAGGCCTCCATGGTAAGGTGGGAGGAGGAGACAGGAGAATCCCAGTAAATGCTTAGGCCTGACCCAGTAGCCAATGGGAGACCCTGTCTCAAACAAGGTGGGAGAGAATGGCCCACTCCTGAGCTTGTCCTCTGACCTCCACATGTGCATCATGTCATGCATGCATGCACACACATGCACACACATGTACACACACACCAGAACTAAAACCCCAAAGCAATGCCGTTAGCCTTGTCTGTCGTTTTCACTGTGAGGAGCTGGCGGTTCTTTAATCCCCAGTGAGCAGTGGATGTCTTTTCCGAATGAAGTTTTCTTAATAATCGTTATGAGATCAAATTTAAACATCTTTAATATACTTCAATTCATTACAGCCATTTTCTCCCTCCCTTCCCCCTCCTTCCCTTCCTTTATGAATGTTTTTCACAGGGTCTCACTGTGTAGCCCAGGCTGACCTTGAACTTGAAATCTTTCCAGCACAGCTTCCTGTGTGCTGGAATTACAGACATGCACCACTGTGCCCAATTCAATATACTCATTCTTGTGAAGTCTGGATTGTTTCCTCTGGGCCAATGGGGCCTTTCCATGCCAGCTGCTGTGTGCCCTGAGAACTTTTTGCTTTCTGATACAACAAAATGCCCCAGGCTCTTCTTGCCCATCCTCTGCCTGGTGCCAGAGTCTACCATGTCTACAAGGATTCCTGGTGCCATTTAGCTGGAAATATGCATATAGAGACACAAAGCTTGGTCAGGGTACTCTATGTCACTGGATTTCCTGTCCTTGGGAAGCGAGGAAGCAGCAAATGGAAATATTGCCCTTTATGAGTAAGGGAGGCCTAGGAAGTGGAGCGGGAGAGTGCCCTCACTTAGGAAGAGGACCGAGTGGAGAGGGAGGCCCAGCACCGTGCTGGTGCAGCGGGACCCATCCTGGAGGGCACACGGGACCCATCCTCGAGGGCACATGACTCTCCTTGAAGGTGCTGGCATGTGGGGAGAGACTGCCGACTTCAGGATTCGAGAGTGAGGAGCAGGGTTGTTGCGCCTGGGAGTCCATGGCTTCGTGGCTCAGAAAAAGTTCTTTTGGTGACTTCCCTTCAGGGATTGCTTTCTCAGATAGCAGGAGATGGCATAGGCCCTACTTATTTTCAAAATGTTATAAACAGCAATTTGATAGTTATAATAAAGATGAACAACCATCATCCTCCCACACTCCCTTCACTGTCCCACACATTCCCACATCCATGTGTGACTTTACCTATGGTTTCACTTTGTGATTTTAAAATAGAAACGGATAGCACAGACACCTCTCCTATTGGCTTCGTAGTCTTTAAAATTATAATTTTAATGAATATGAAATGTCACTCAGCTAACATTTACCAAGTGTCTTTCTCCACCAGACACTGGAAGGCACTAAAAATGTAGAAATAGACCATGAACAGTTCCCAGCCAGGAAGGCGTGAAGATTGCTGAGTGTGATGAGCTCGTAGACAGCACAGTAGGACCACAGGATGGTCACCATTAAACCCTCGGTAGAACCTCTTCTCTCCAGGATGCAGAGCTCCCTGAGGCCTTTACTGTATTAACCCAGAATTCCCAGGGGCAGGGCACAGGAAGCAGATGCCCTTGTGTCATGAATTATGTATGGGTTGAGCATCTCCAACTCCAAAGTTCAAATCCAGGTCAGCGAGCTGGCTCAGTGGGTAATTGCTGCTCAAGCAAGCCTGAAGATTTGAGTTCGATCCCTGGAGTCCACATAAAGGTGGAGAGAGAACTCACTTCACAAGGCTGTCCTCCGATCTCCATTTACGCACCCAGCCCCACATCCACAATAATAATCTGTTTAGAAAAAGAAAAATCAAATTTTGAAATGCTCCTAAATTGGAAACTTTTGAGCACTGACATGACATCCCAGGGTCGTAGTCAAAATGCAGGCTCCTTGGTGATAGTGTTGCCAAACAGCCTTAAGGTGGCGTGTGAAGAAGTATGTGAAACACACAGGAATTTTGTGCTTAGACTCGGGCCCGCCCCGAACCCCTGATTATGCATATGATATTCCAGAACTCCCAAGAACCCCAAATCCAAACATGTCTGCTTCTGAGTGTGTCTGAACATTTCTGAGTGACAGGTGTGAACACCTGTCCCCTGTGCACAGATTTGAAGGTGCACATGTGACCTGGTCAGTGGTTCCTTTACCATCGTAGAATGTTCCTTCTGCTCCTGTGGATGCTTCCTGTGGCCGATTCTAGTGTTAAATCCATAACAGTTTTGCGACTAGTGTTTCTGAGCTGTTTCTTGTCCTGGCCAGTTTGCTTTGTCATTGTTGGTTTTTAGACGGAGTTTCACAGTGCTGCTGTCCAGGCTGGCCTCAAACCCACAATCCTCCTGCCTCGGCCTTGAATGCTGAGATTACCACCATGCGGGTGGCTCCCTGCCAGCCTCTTAGCTTTGCTGTATTGGTGTGACTTGGCCTTGTAGACTGTATGCGTTTGGGAAAATTCCTGTGTGCTGAGGTGCTCCAGTTTGGGGCTTAGCAGCCTCTCAGGGTCCATTGTGTCTCCCCCATCGCTGCAATATTTCCTCTTCCATTTCTGGTTCTATCTGGGTCCTTTTTTTTTTTTTTCTTGGTCTAGCTAGCAATGTGTCTTGTTTGCTTAACTTTTCAGAAACCCCTCTTCGTTGATGCTATTCTGTCATCTTCTCCACTATTTGATGTGTTTTTTCTCTGATCTTTGCTTTTGCTGGTACTGTGTCTATTTGTCATACTTTTTCTATTTTTTTTTTTTAAGGTTTAAGAAGACCTTGTTAGAGATATTTCTACTTTTGAAAAAAATGTATTTTGTGCTATATGTATGAGCGAGTGTGGGCGTGCAGGTGCACGCGTGGACATCAGAGGACAGCTTTGGGAAGCTCGTTCTCTCTCCTGCCCTGCTGAGGCAGGGTCTCTCCTGCTTCTGCTGTGCAATGTACTCCAGACCAGCTGACTAGGAACTTCTAGCTGATTCTCCTGTCTCCACCTCCCTCCCATCCACAAGAGTGCTTGGATCACAGAAACGCAGCATGGCACCTGGATTTTTATGTGGGTCACCAGGGCCGGCACGGCAGACACCTCTGCAAACACTGCGCCATGCATCTCCCTGCGTCCCTTTCCTCTTTGATACGGTCACTGTGTGTTGCCTCCCCTCTTAGACCTGCGTCTGCTGCATCCTGCTTTCAGTGTGTTGTGTTTGCATTTTCACTCACCTTCTATTTCTCTCTACATGTGTGTCCTTGTTCACATGCTTTTTACACGCTTGCCTACATGTGTATTTGCTTGTGGAGGCCAGAGGTCGGCGTTGGGTGTCTTTCCTGACTGCTCTGCACCTCATTTTCTGAACCTGGAGCTTGCTGATCAGGCTAGCCTGGCTGGCCAGTATGTCCTAAGGGTCTTCTGTGTCCACCACCTCCGCACTGTGGTTACAGCTCACCATTGTGCTGTCTTCTGTGTACGTGCTGGGGATTGAACACTGGTCCTCACTCTTGCCCAGCAAGCACTTCACCAACAGAGCCATCCCCCTACTAGTGCCTGAAGATATTTCCTCATTTTCCTTCGATTTCTTCAATGACCGTCAGAGCATGAGCTCTAATGTGTTTGTGCTTTCCCTCCTGCTGTTTGAGACAGGAAGTACAGCTGACCAGATGGACGGTTCTGGAAGACCGTCCCTTGCCTTTATTTGCTGCTGTGGTCATGTGGTTTCCTGGGTGGGGCCCTGAACTGTTAGAAGGCTGGCCATACAGGAATCCCAGCCAATCAGGAGTGTTCCTGCCACTTCTGAGAGCCACCAGCTCAGCTGTGTGTAAGCTACATGGCCCCTCCGATGGTTGGCAATGCCGACAGGTTGCAGGATGGCCATCTTGCTTGTGTGTGGTTGTTGTGGGTCCTTCTCTTGCTCTGTTTTGCCTAATTCCAGTCAGCCTAGCAGTGTTGCTTTCTGCTTTCCCTGTGGGGGGAGAAGGGAGGGGCTTCCTGGCAAGCATCTTGGGGTTCAGGGGAAACTGG